TGTGTGATGTGAGGGCATGTGATTCACAAAGGAAAGGTAAGTCTTGACTCTTGTATAGAGTAGTTTGAGTAAGTGCAAGTGTGGCATGGTACAAAAGGTTTGACTCTTAAGGTAAAGGTTGTTCACTTCTAGGTGCAACTTTGGTAAAATGTTCATGGTGTTAGTCGTTAAGGGAAAAGCTTAGGGAAGGAATTTTGATGGAGTGTGGTGGATTGCTCGAGGACTAGCAATAATTTAAGTGTGGGGTGTTGATAATAGACTATATAGTTGATATTTACACCTTAATATAACCATATTTTGTTGTTGTTTTATAGATAAATTGCCAACAAAATGCTCTAAATAGTGCTCTTTTGCTTCGCAGGGAATATTATATGAGAGGAAGCAACATGGAGTGTGTTGGAGGCGATAATGTAAAGAAAACACCCACTCGAGAAGTACCCGAGCACAAAGAAGCATAAATGGTCCGGGCAAGAAGGCCACTGCGACCGCGATGGACCACGGCAGATTAATAAGACGCGGCAGAACGGTTGGCTTTCACGCGGTCGACCGCGGTTGGCCGCGACCGCTGTGAACTGTTTACGCAGTTGGAAACTTGAGGACCAAAGTGTAATTTCGGGAAAACTTTTGTAAAACCCTTATAAGCTTTAGAAACTCGCCCAAGATTGTTCTAAGCTTGTTTTAGATTACTTTTGGAGGCAAGAACAAGTGTGAGAAGATCAACCAAACATTAGAGTTTTTCTATCTCTTTTATTTTCTTGCAATTACCCATTATGAATATTTTAGTAGTTTATTCTCGTTTTGTCATGAGTAGCTAAATCCTTTGTCTAGGGTTTTGATGGAACCTATTGAAGGATGAACTTCTTGATTATGTTAATATTGATTGCCAGTTTAATCTCTATTTGTTCAAATACGTATTTGTTGTAGTTAATTGACAGGATCCTCAATTAGCTGTGCCTATTTAGTGTGCATAACTCGGGAGAGAGTGCATATTTAGGTAGTTGTTGAACAACACCACTCCCAAAGTATAAGAGGGATCTATAACTGCGGGTTTAAAGGCGGGATTAGGAATAACGAAGCCTTGGGTGCAATCCAAAGTGAGCTATAATAAACAAAGCCAGCAAGCGTATCTCGGGAGAGTACGTCTAATAAATTATTGTGATTACTCGGGAGAGATTTACGGTAAAAAGAGTGCTCATGATTGATAGAGACGTTTTGGTGAATCTATATGAAACATAACTGGACGGGATTCCATCAGTAGGGAAAATCATAGCCTTAGAACCTTCTCATAATTGTTTACAACCCAAGCATAGTTAGTTTTTAGCTGTTTATTTACTTTCAGTCTTAGTTATTAGTAATACCATCAACTGTTATTTACAACGTTTGAGGAAGTTGACTCCGTAGAATTTAGTAAGTCCAACGAACGTAATTGATAGGTTAATTACTTGTGGGTTCGACTCCAGATTTGTAAACCGGATTATATTTGCAACGACCGCTTAGTCCTTTTTATAAGGCATAGTTGGGCGTGACCATCTATGCAAAAGCTATTGGGTTCGGCCGAACCCGTAAATCATACCCTACCTCCGTTCCTGTTAAGAACAACCCGACGCACAAAGCATCTCGCATTCACGCAGGATCCGGAGAAGGGCCGCACCTCAAAAGGTATGATATAGATAGCATATCCTAAACTTATCAATATATATATGTATACATTTTCTCTTATGTTAGAAATCAGAACATATTTGTCCTACGTCAGTTGTATTAAAAATTTCAATATGCAAATCCTTCTGAAATACATCTATCTAGTCTAATTATCCTCCTCGCCTATTCGTTAAATTAAATTAGATTAAAATTTTCATTACAAAAGCTATAATTAACGGGATCTTACCTTCTAGTCATTGTACTTTGATTAATATTTGCATAAGAATTGCCTAACCATTTTATTTACTATATACCAAACGTAGATATTAACTATCAACTAAAATTAAAGCTCGCCCATGCTTCATTCTCCACCTTCCAAAATTCAACATATGCCACCTATCTTTACATCAAACACACACTGTAAAATTATTGATAATAATTTCCTTTGTAAAACATTTGTTATAGAAAGTACTTAGCTTTTATGGAAAAAGAATTTGGGGCATTATCACTTTTAGTACTCGCCAGAAACTATTTATATTTAGTAGCCGAAAAAATATATAAAACTTGTATAATTTTTGTATATAACATACAGAATGTGTATATATACAAACAGATTTACAAATTTTATACATTTTTTGACTATTATTTTACAGCGTCTATACAACATCATTTTTCCAACGAATTTTACGACGAAGAAAACACAAACCCAATTGAAATTTGAGAATAGACAAGACAAGTCACATTGAATAAGCCCAATAAAAGGCTCAAATTTTAGGAATTTTTACCTCCCATAGCAAAGGTTGATACCTTATTTATTTTAAATAAATAACCTTTTAAAAAATTATATTCCATAGCTAACTTTTGATTTAATTTTCAAATATCTATTTATGGTCACCTCCTACCCTTAAGCCATAAAATACACTTTGTATTATTTTTCTCTCTCATTCTTTCAGATTTTTCTCCACCCTCTCTCTCAATGCCAGTCTTTCTCCATGAATACAACCATGATTCTCCACCGATTCATCTCCTTTGTCGAACAAAATTTTCATTCTCAGTGGCCTGGGGCTCTGAATCAATGTCGAAATCCAGCCCTAAATTGAAAGATGGAGATTCGAAATCTGCTATTACACTGTACATATACGAGAAGAAATCAGAGAGTAGAACAGACCCAGCGTGAGTTTGCTTGCCTACGCCTTCAAGGGCCGGATCTGTTGCTCCTAAGATCAACAAATTCGCACACATCGAAGACTCCATTATGCAGAAGCGCAAGAGGTAATAATTCAAAGAGAAACAACATGCTGCTTCAAATGTGAGATCTCTGGTCCTCTTTGTGCAAAATAGAATTCCAAGATGGGTTCCGTGGAAGGAATGTATCCTGCATGACGAACAATACATTAGTTCAGTCTTACAACATCAATGTCGAAACCTGACATAGGGTAAATTGGGGCTGACAATGGAGGTCCAAAATCTGCTATCGACGAGACGACATTAGGGTTATTCTTGAACAAAGACAACGGAGTTTGGGGCTTAGCAACTTGAAGAGTCTGTTACTTTTATTTTTATTGTATTTTAATGTATCTCGCTGTATTTTATGTATTCATTATCTTTTTTTTCCATTGTAATTCAATGTATCTCGTTGTATTCCTTTCATTGTATTCACTGTCTTTTTTTCTCATTGTATTTTAGTGTATCCCGCTGTATTCTATGTATTTCATTGTATTCACTTATCGCTATATGCCATGAATGTATTCATATGTTTTTTTAATTAATATAATTTATGTATTCAGATGTATTATATAATTTCTCTGAAGATTGCTATGTTTTTTGGGTATTTTTTGGTTGAGAATCATTTTTATAACTGAAAATACAAAATTTGTGTGTTATAATTGAGTTTGTTGAGTTATATTAGGAGTCTATTATGTTAATTGATTCACTTTCCGTTTTAAAAAAAAGTGTAATCCCCTATTTCACGTCGTGAATACAGTCGAATACAATAATCTGTCCAGCTGTAATCCCATGTTTCACTCCATGAATACAGTCGAATACACTCGAATACAACAACTGATTAGCTGGACTTCCCTGATTCACGCCTATTTTTGCTACTGTATTCATGAATACAATAGCTTAAATACATCAAATACATCTTATAACCACAGAAAAGGTATCTATAATCCATAATATAGCAAATGATATATATAGATGACTAATTACTACTAAAAGATAGTGCATTATGAAATTTCTCTTTTAGGAATTTTTACCTCCCATAGCAAAGGTTGATACCTTATTTATTTCTCTTTGAAAAACAGGTTTAGCCCAATGCTTCTGGACCCCAAGAAATGTAAATGTAGAAAAACGAACCTAAATAACCGCCTACGATTAAACAAAAAATAATCAACGGATGTATAATATATGTATATATGTGTATAACTATATATAATTAGTGTAAATCTATGTGTACCGACTGGAAAAATTAAACAGTAAACTCGCTGAGTCTGGATGTAAGAGAATGAGTTATCAACGTTGGGCCCAAGTGTGTTGCTCTGTGCTATATTTCATAAAAATAGCACGGTATAGCTAGTTTTCAGACCGGCCAATCAAAAATAGCCAGTGTTTACCAAGTCAATGAAAAATAGCCACCGTTTTGCTGCAATAGAGACCGGTCCAGCATAATATACCGGAGTCGATGGACTTGTGTATGAACTCCAGCATATTATGCTGGACCGGTATACTTTGCCGGCTCCAGTATAATTTACTAGAGACTGGAGCACTGGTGCTCCAAACTCCAGTATATTATACTGGACCAATTTACTTGCTGGAACTCCAGTATATTATGCTGGAGTTCTAGTGTACTTATGCTGGAACTCCATCATATTATGCTGGAGTTCCAGCATACTATCCTGGAACTCCAGTATAATATGCTGGAGTTCAAGTATACTTATGCTGGAACTCCAGCATAATATACTGGAGTATTTTCCGGGTTTTGAACAGTGTTTTCGCTCAGATTTAGCTTTATAGAAAAAGTGGCTAAATTTCGATTACTTTTGAAATTGGGCTATTTTTGAACGACCAGTTGTAAATCTGGCTATTTTTAAATTTCTCCCCTATATTTAGACCGATGCTCTTTTAAAGACCATGCTCAAGAAAAATGACACAAATATAAAATTGTTTTTCTTAATAATAGTAGTCGATCTTATAATGTAAAGGTCCGTTAAAAGGTATAAGGTAAATAATTCTGGTATAAAATTAAGTACATATTAAGTTTGCAATATTAACTCGACTCTCGATATTAATAATATAATCTCTGCATAAGTACATAGTTTCTGATATAAAACTTGAAATAACTAATGTAGTACTATGACACCCTAATTGTTTACTAGCAGCATGACATCTTGAATCAACGACTTAATATTCAAATAAGAAGATCCACTTTCTTGCATTGCCTCCTTTGACATTATTGCTAATTCCTTTGCTTTTTTTCTTCTTTCTTCACTCTCTAATCCTTCATCCATTAATTGATTGATTGCTTTCTCGACTTCCTCTTTCTTTTCCAAAACCCTATTCTTCTCTTCAGTCGCAACTCGAATTCCAATCTTCAAAAAATCTACAATTAACTTCTCATTGTAATATTGATCAGCAAACATTGGAAAAGTAATCATTGGTACGCCACAAGTAATTCCTTCTAAAGTCGAATTCCATCCACAGTGCGTTAAGAACCCTCCGATCGACGTATGAGATAAGATCATAAGTTGTGGTGCCCAACCTTTAATAATTATGCCTCTTCCTTTTACCTTCTCTTCAAAATTTTCATCACTTAGCCATTTCTCAACTTCTGATGAAACATTTAATCCTCTAATTATCCATATAAAAGGCACATTTGATGATTCCAACCCTAATCCAATTTCTTTTATTTGCAAGAATGAAATGTGACAAAGGCTACCAAATGAAACATAAACCACAGATTTTGGCTTCATTGTATTAAGCCAAGTCAAATAACTATACTCATTATCGATAGAACCCTCGTTACCTCTGTTCACTATCTCATCTATTTTTTTGTTGCATAATGATACTGGACCAACACAAAAAACATTTTTCATGATTTTTTTGTATTCATCAACGTAAAATGGCTCCAATTCGTTGAACGTATTAATCAACGTACCTCGTGCCAAATTTTGTGACCATTTAATTTGGTGTACAACACTTTGCACATCATCAGATTGCTTTGTTGTAGCCACATTAGGTAACTGAGAATTTCTGATTTCAATTTCTTGAGAACAAAGGAGAGCAAAACAAGAAATTGTTTGAAAAACATACCTTGGAATCTTGAATTTGTCAGCTATTTCTTGTGTCCAATAAAGGCCACCTGTTGAAATGATACAACTTGGTTTTGTTTCCATTTTTTGAATTATTTCTTCTAGTGGTTGTTTTAATGACTCACAAGCTAAAAAAAATTCTTTGTATAAATTTGTAGAAGGAAGTGAATCCATATTTTCACATCCCTTAGGCAAACCAAGTTCTTCACATGGGAAATGAAGGGGAATGAGTTGGATTTTGAGGTTAAAATTTAAAGAATGAGTGATTAATGATTTGTACCTTTGTGCATTGAGGGGTGTGGTGATAATTGAGACATTAATTTCATGTTGGGCTAATAATTTTGCAAAATCAGTTAAAGGTATTATATGGCTTTGGGACAGTAGAGGAATCAATAGGAAGTGGAGTTGTTTATCTTGAGAAATCATTGTGAATAACAAAGCTTAATTTTCATGTAATGGTCTAAGTAATGGTTACTTCAGTAGCTCTTTTGGGTGAAATTTATAGCATGGTAAATTGTTTCTGAATTAGAATGGTTTAATTACTTACAAAAAATTTAACGAGATTCATAGCATATGAAATTGAATTCTGAATTATAGTAGTGTGAACCTGTACTATCAATTAAGAAAGGTTATAATTAGCTTACCAAAATCTTATGTCTCAGTTTAGATATGTTAATTAGTTACACAAAAAAATTGATTTCCAAGGAAAGTACTTAACAACTTACTAAAATTTAGTGGGTTTCCACACGAAACCAACTTTTTGTTATGACAAAATATACGGAACCTAAGCGGTCACAATGTTTTGTTGATATTGAAGAGTTATAGTTGACCGAATTCATCCATAAACTTAGATCACGATAACCTTAATAATCAAAGCATCACGACAAGTAAATAACATCCAAAGTGACCTTGGATTCTTAAGGTGGTGGTGGTGGGT